AATCCTCGCTGTTCCGATATTTATTTCAGCCAACGAAACAGGCTAATAAACGAAGCTCGGCCTTTTTCCACGGGGGTGCGTGTCCCTTGGATATACGGCACTGCTTAATTGCGAGCAAGAACCGACCGATAGGGCAATTAACAGCTCGGGGACAGTCGGGGTCACGACAATATAAAATCCCATCAGATGGGCTCGATACGGTGCAATAAACATGGAGAATGTTAATTCCGGCATGTCGGGCACGAAATTAAATTCCATTCGATTTTACAACCTTTCCATTCCACCAGATTCCACCCTCCTCTCTGTCTCTCTTTCTCCCTCTGTTTGTCGGCGTTACGTAAATTCTGGCTTCTTTCGTGCACCTCGTTTTTTCCCCCTTTCTCTCTCTCTCCCTCTCTCTCCTTCCTTTATTTTTCTGTCCCATCCTTCTCGTATTAGCTCGTTCCCGTTACCGTGTTTGTTTGTCGTTTAAGTTTGTTGATTACTCCGACGGTGCGTTCAGTGCTCGCTCGAGCACGGATTTCGCGACAGGGACGAGTTCCTGATTGGGAAGTTGGACTCGTAGCAGTCGTCTGTTAATGTTGAATTTCTAATTCACTCGGCAAGAACATGGCTATTGTTCTTCCGCTTTTATCGTTGGTCTTGTTTGGAGAAGGCAGACCAATTTTCGGATCGAACGTGTGGGTTTTATCGAGCCGATTCGTGGTTGTCAGTTGATATTTCGTAAGTAAATTAACTGCCACTGTTACTTTCAGTCTCCACGTTTGACCGTGTTTGTTCGATTTAACGATAAACGTTGGAGGATATGTAGGGATTAAATGGGAATTAAATAAGCGAAAAATTTAAACAGGCGAATACAAATTCTGGCGTGCTTGATAATATATATTTGGAGGGTCCTCTCTCACGATTGTCGAATTTTGGCTGGTCGCGGGTATCATCGATGTGGAGGTGGTGCTAGAAGGGTTGAAAGGAGAAGGAAGAGATGCGTTTTGTCCCGGGTCTGTTAGTTGACTCGTCACTAAGGCTATCTAGCAGGCCCTGCCTTAGATGGCATGGGAACTTAGGGGACATAGGAACTTAGGGAACATAGGAACTTAGGGGACATAGGAACTTAGGGGACATAGGAACTTAGGAGACATAGGAACTTAGAGAACATAGGAACTTAGGGGACATAGGAACTTAGGGGACATAGGAACTTAGGGGACATAGGAACTTGTATCTATGGAAGTCGAGGATTCACCGATCTAGTGGTCGCTACATATAGAAATAATTTAAACGAAAATTCGAATACTCGTGTAGCGACCATCATTCTCACCCTCGCCACTAGGGTGCAGATATTGCCTACGATGTAGAATTTATTTCAGTATTGTAGGATGGCGAAAACTGGTTTTGGAATAACACGAACGCAAAACTCATAAAACTAATTTAACTCAGGAAAGGAACACCGAGATAACGCAACAAAAACACACAGAAACGCACTCTAATTTAACTCTCTTTCCAACACCGAGCGACTCATGCTCGTACCGGTCACGATTAATTTCTAAGGACTCTGTTTTGGTCCTCAAGGGTTCTGCTTTTATGCTTTTCTTAACCTACGTTTCACATCCCCGTAACTTAAATTAACGCAACTTAATTTTGCTACCCAAAATAACTTGATCCATTTATAATTTGTTTTCGTTGGCAATGGCCGATTCGCGGTTTCTTTTCGAAATGATATCCTACGGTATTTAGTATTTTATTGCAACGGAAATGGACGTAGGAAATTTATGGCGTGGCCTGAAAAGGCCTAGATGTAGTGGAGAATTTTTCCCTCTGTGAAAGAGAACCCAAAAAATTCGAATGTTCGGTTATCGAGAGAAAACAGGTACCCTGTCGAATGTGCACCCTCAAGTATTTCTAAAATAAATTCTTTAAACCCTATTGCGATACGACGAGTTTTATTTCGCCACGTTTTAATTTTTCCCCAGCTCCTTCTAATTCAACAGCGTAACTACGAGGTTATGTTCCTCGTAGCTATTATCGACCAACTAGGTGGACGAAAAAAGAAGGAAAATGGGTGAAAAACAGAACGGAAGAGGCAAAGAGGAACAAAAGACTATCAATTATACCGAGTGTGTTTCGTGTCCGTGGGGATTTAATTTTTGAGGTCGCGGCAGGCTGGATTTTAATTGGAATAACGTCGCTCGCTCGGCAGTAATTCATATTAATTCCTGGACCTTAATAACCAGAGGTCCGTTGGTCGGCCTGCCGAACTGATGATATTGGATTACACCATTGATTCGTCATTAATATCGATCACCGTTGCTCCACGCGCGACACGCTTAATGAGTATTCACTAGAAGCGTTCGTTGTTCCGCGATCACGTAATTAAACACAGATCTGCATAATGCTATAGAAATGGTCGCGAATGCTCGCCCGACCCGCCTCGGATAGAAAAACGGCCAACGATTTGCTTGGAATATCCGATTGATCGTCGTGCAGCCGTCCCCGTGATCTCGATTCACCCCGGAAACGTTGATTTTCCCAGTTTCCCAGAGTGCTCGCACCTGGCAGCTTAAACTTTTCGGGCCAATTCCGCGCGGTGGTTATTTCGTTAAGCGAATGAAATTAACGAGAGGACGCTCGTGCGTGGAAAGTAACAGCAGTAGTCCCGGACAATTTGTCGGGGTATATCCTGTAACGGCAAATTATTATATTAACTGCAGATTCGCGTAGCTACATATTTATTACTCCACCGTTAAACTGCAACCTTCGCTTTATTACCTCGCTGTATTCGTAAAACTGCTTACCGTGACGCGTAACAGGCAGGATATCCGCGGTATAACCGAACGTGCAAATAAAATCTCCAATTCCGCGCCGTGCTGCTTGGAAAGACGAAAGCAGAGTCGAAAGCAAAGACGAAAGCAAAATTGAAAGCAAAGTCAGAAGCAAAGTCGACTTTCCGCGATTGAAACATCCATCATCTCGAAATCAACGTCGACTGGCGGGGCGTACGAGCGTGAGGGGGTTGAAGCACGTGCAGACAGCTAAAGCGCGAGCCTAAAGCCGCCGGTGGCAAAGGGGTGGCAAACAGGGCACGGTCGATCGGGGCAGGGAAAGAAACGACACGTCGTCACGGCAGGTTGTTAGCTTCGATAAAACGTCTGGAGATATTCCGTGAGAGGTAATTAGAATCGAGGAATGGCTGGATGCAAACTGGCGGTGGCTCTCGCGCGAGAGATTTCGCGAGGAAACGTAATCAGCGTGTACCTATTAGGTGTCGGGGTATTACGCTTCGTCGCTGTGCGAATTAACGTGCGAGACGCGATGTCAGCAACGGAACGCGCGTGTGCTGTGTTTTCTGATATGAATAATTGCACGCTTAATTGCATAAAATAATTCCCGAGGTCGTTATCGGCGGCCGTAAAATAGCATTACGCCGGTTCCAATCAATTGGCCGGTGTGTAGCATTGTTAACAGACGCGCGGCAGCCATCGGTTTAATATTAATGAATGACGTTACGCTTCTCGAAATTAGCGGCCGCCGTAACGGCATCATAGATACACCCTGCTCTAACGGATGGCCGCGGAATCGCGTGTTTCTATTTCGCGGATCGAGCCTGGGTTACCTGCCGATTAATAAACACCGGTAAAAGCAACAATATGCGGGAAAACGTTATCTACGATAGAGAGAGTATCCATGCTAATTCCATATTTGCGTATTACTGCGCCCGTTTCGGGAGTTGACGCTGCGAGGATAGAGCGAATAAAGAGGAACATAGAGGCGATACTTATCGTTGAAAGACAACGTTGTGTAGAGTCACACAGTCTATACTGCGCTGGAGAGTACTTCGGGTTCTAAAATTCACTGCAGACTTTGGACTGGATTTGACTCGGTCTCAACTCTAACTCTCAACACGAACTATTGATAAACTATAAGACAACTAAAGATGAATTAACGAACTAGCGAACTCAAAGACAACTGAAAGCAACTGCAGACGAACTAAACTCTATCTTCCAGAACGGGCCCTTTTAAGGCCATCAGAAAGGTGAGGGCCTCCCCCAAAGAAGGAGAAAACTCCCCCAACGTAAAGTTAAGGGGTAGAAGAGACTTCTCCTTCCGGATTAGGCTTTCCAAAGGGTCACCCTCGCGGATGCGTCACCCTCGGTTTACAATGGGGAAAGCCGGGGTTGCGCGAGGCTACCTCATATGGCCCGACCTCGACCTCTAAACCTTCTATCTAAGGACCATCCATTTATCTATCTAAGGATAGTCTAAGTACCATCGTATCCTAACGATGCCTAAAAATATCCTACAATAATTGTAAAAAACGATAGTTATTTCTTTTTATCCATAATCCCAATATGCATTGTCACTCTTGTTTCAAAACGTCTTCAAAATAGGGACGCGAGGAGCCGAATCTTTTTCCAGCCATCGGTCTAAGATTGTATCTCTATAAATCGTATCGTATCCCCTATTTTCCATATACTTGATTAAAATTACTATCTCACCGAATACGCGAAGCACCGTGTTCGTTTTCTAACCTTCGAATCTACGACACTTACGCACACGTGTCATGGCTTCGGCAATGCGTCGGGTCTGTCGTGAATTTATTACCGAGAAGCGAGATAAGGGTTAACGTCGAGTAAAATGTTTGATTTACCGCGAGAATGTCGGTGCCGCGGCGGTGCAAGATTTGTCGAGAGCAATTCGACTCTTTAATTTATTATCGTATTTACGATCACTACAGGCAAGAGCTACGTTTCCCTGGCAGTCGTCAAAACGTGCCGCGATCTTAATATTTCATCCCTCAAACGATAACGGGCGAAATATATATATATCCGATCTTCTATCTCGAAGAAAAAGTAGAGAGCTACTTTCCTTCGATTAATTTATTCCCAGACGTCGAGGACCGGAGGGGGGAAAGAGGTCGTAGAAATTTGGTCCGTAAGCATGGTTCAGGGGATGATTGGAGGAAAGAGACGGAGATTGTTATTGACATAATCGACGTTTTGTTGCAGTCCCTGACGAGACAACGGCCCCGAGAGGGATCGCAAACCAGACCCGAGTCACGAAGCTTTCCACCGAGCGTAATTGCGTATATGTCGAGGTCAGAGGTGGCGTCGTCCCCGGAAAACGGCCAGGACGAGGAAGAATCCTTCTTCGAGAGGCCTCCACCACCCCCGCCGCCGCTCCCGCCACCGCTCCCGCCGCCACCTTCGCAACAGTCGCAGTCTCAAATCGATCAGGGCATCGGTGGCTTGGCGAAAGACGAGGAAGACAGCGCGAAAGTTGCCGACCTGCTCGATTCCGCGGGCGACAGAGACACGTCCGAGGAATTGGTCAGGTGAGTCTTCGAAATATTTCCTCCTCTCTTCTCCTTTAACCACTTGCGGTGGAAAGACGTGCCACGCACGTCGAGATGCTTCTGGTACCGGAACACCAGCGACGTGTTACACACGTCGTCAGGCGATTGTTGCAGAAAGAAAAATGACGTGCGTGGCACGTCAATTGTTAATGAAATTCTTTACCGAGGCACAGTTTCTCCTCGCACTGCATCATCAGTTGACGCGTCTTTATATTCTCTTCTGGAACCCCCCGAACGCTGCCTGAACGCGCCCCGAAGTGATTTGCACTCGACTGTTCTGGCACGCGCAACCATGAATTTCTTTGCACCGCAAGTGGTTAATATCGAATAGGAATCGGTTCACGATTTATGCTCGGTTTACCTAGGTTTACACCGCAAAAGGACGAAAGAACGACGATCGATGGGCAGGTCAGAAGACCTCGTCACATCTCGAGGGACCATTACATTTCAAGGTAAAAATCTTCCCTTTTTCCCTGTTCTTTCGTGACAATTAAACCGTAGAGAGATCGGAGAACCATTATATTGGCTTGGAATAAGATTTAGTTCATTATCCTCGGAATATGTAGAAATTCCAGCTACCTGTCTGTTTAAAACGTATGACCTATTTCGTATTTCCCATTGTACGAATCGCAGTACTATTACGCGCGTTGAAAATGTTCGAAATTCGACTTCAAAATCGGCGCATAGAGGTATTATTATAGAGATATCCCCGAATTTTTGAAATTCGAAATTTTTATGCCCCCC